TCCAGACAAGAAGGGGGGGGAACCCCCCCCCCATCAAACCTCCCAACAAACTTCTTTATCAGAGGTTCATTGTCAATCAATTAGCCAAGGCAGCAGGGGTCTGTAGGGTGGGCGGTAGCATGGCAGACAATGGACTGCCCTGTTGTATTACTGTTTAATCACTTTTACTAAATAAATAAAGCAGCCCCGAGGTGCTGTCATGTCAAGGGAATTTATAACAAAAAAACTTCATTTTTCATTGGTCATTACTTTTTTCCCTGCAGGACAAGAGAGGGTTATTACTGTAGCCTTAAGTTCCATCTTTGTGTTGCTCGCCTTTGATTCCCACTCGGACCCTGCCACTTTCCGGCACTAATTTGGCAGGCTGAACAAAGAAGGGATTTGTACCTCCTGTAAGGTCTCAATTAGGAAAGGCTTCTGCTGTATTATGTGCCATTCAGACACGACACAATGACGGTAATTACAGGAATTTGCACTAAATGGCTGAAGAATTCACAGCAAAAACTTCCCCCCCCCCCTTCCTTTCCAAGCTTCCCCCTCCCAGCAGCCGGGGTGGAGGGGGGGGGGGTAGGGAGGGAAAGCTCTTAATGCCTGCAAGTTTTAATTACCGACAGCAGTCCTGTTAGGTTAAACAGCAGCCTATGAAGTAAAACAGCAGAAACCGTCTATATAGCAATGAAGATGCATAGACTCATTATTCCCCAAAGTCTTCTCGGCACGAACTTTTCCTCCCTGAAGCAAACAGGATGGAATTTTCCCAGTTATTATTCATTATTATTATTTATTTGTATTGTGGCAGCAGCTAGAGGCCCCAAATCCACTCTCCAGGACCCCGGGGGACAGGCACAGCCCACAATGAAAAAAGACAGCACTAGGGACATAAACCCTTCTCTAAAGCTGGATGTGATGTATGGGTATATTGAAATTCAAGTTAAAATTATGCCCAGTCGCCTGATTCTCAGGCTCAGAGATGCTGAGTGCCCATAAATCCTACTGTGGAAGCTATGCTTGTTCATCACCTCTGAAAAATCTGGCCATGGGAGCACAGGAAATGTCTAACAAGTAAGCGTCAAGGCTCGTCTTCACATACAGTTGTACCGGTGCAGCTGTAGTGTTTTAGTGAAGACACTACCTACGCCGACAGGAGAGCTTGTCCCGTCAGTGTAGTTAATCTACCTCCATGAGAGGCAGTAGCAAGATCGACCGGAGAAGCTCTCCTTTCACCATCGCACTGTCTACACGGAGGGGAGGGGAGGTTGGTATAACTGTGTCATTCAGGGATGTGGGTTTTTCACACCCCTGAGCAATGTAGTTACACCGAGACAGGACTGTAGTGCAGACCTGGCCTCGGAGTATCATGAAAGCTACACGCGGTTTTTTAAAAATAAGACCATAAATTAAAAACAGCACTCACGCCCCAACAAGGTCAGAGTGCTTTATTTCTGTGGGGAACATCTGAGTGACTCAAGATGCAATGTAGCATGTTTCAGAGAGGAAATCCATCCTTTCCCACACAAAAGGCTGTTCCCACAGGATAAAATCCAGAATACCCAAAATACTTCTCAAATTAAAGACGACAGGTTATTTGTTGCTCTCCCATGGCTTGATCCCGCTCCTGCTGAGGTTGCTGGCAACACACTCATCAGCTTTCTTGGAAGCAGGGCAGCACTGAAATGGTGGCGCTAAAGGAGAGAACGTTTCTTTACTGAATTTTGTTTTAAGTGAAGAGAATTAAGAAGAAAGGAAGAAAATGAAGAAGGAAACCCTGAAAATATCTTAAAATGAGACTACTGACTTTGCTTCCCCTGGAGTTTAATAAACCCTGACTGCTGGGTAACAGATTAGAGAGACAAGATAGGTGAGGTCATATCTTTTACTGACCAGCTTCTGCTGCTGAGAGAAACAAGCTTTCCAGCTGACACAGAGATCTTCTCCAGCTCCATGTTACCTCGAAAGCTTGTCTCTCGCACCAACAGAAGTTGGTCCAAGAAAAGATATTACCTCACCCACCTTGTCTCTCTAATATCCTGGGACCCACACAGCTATAACAGCACTGCATACAGGTAACAGATTACACAGATCTCTCTCAGGTCCTTGATGGCTCCCCATCAATGTAGTATCTGAGGCCCAGAACCTCAAAGGCTATTTAGGTTCCTAACTTCCACTGATTTCAACAGAAGATGGGAGCCTAAATACCTCTGAGGATCTGGGCCCGAGTGCCTCACTATCCATAATGTATTTATCCTCACAACACACATGAGATAGGGAAGGGCTATTATCACCATTTTATAGATGGGGAACGGAGGCACAGGGAGACATAGGGCCAGATGTAGGTAATGGGATTTTCAAAAGCGCCAATTAAATTGTATCCTGGCCCTGAACTAGTCAGTTCTCAAATGAATTAAGGTTGCGATTAATCAAACAAAACAAACATGGATGCTTGAGGCTGTGACATTAAATCCACTTCCAGGGAAGGAAAAAAGCAGATAAGCACACATCTGGATCTCAGGCCTAGAACACACACAGACAGGTGACAGTATCTGAAGGAAAGGCATGATAATCCAAGCATACAGGGAGTCTCCTCCTGAAGCCCAGGAGCTGAATTTGAGCTTTTAAGGAAAGGAAAGACTCAGCGAAGATACAGCAATGAAAAAATTACACAGTCTGCAAGTTCGATAGTTGTATGGAACATAGAACTCAGATCCCCTTGGTCCTAAAACACAGGCCCCTACCACTTGAGCTACCAGAGGAGCTCTAGTAGACATTAATAGAAAGGGCCCATGACAAAGTACCCTTAAGCAGTTCCAAGTGTACACATACATACTGATCTGATTGTTACAATACTCTGGCACTTTTGTAGTGCCCAGCACCCTAGGGTCTTAATATTGTTTTACAAACATCAATTAATTGATCCCCATAATCCACCTGTGTCTGGTAGGATTTCTTATCCCCATTTTACAGATGGGGGAACATGCACAGAGAGACTAACAGGCCTAAATTTTCAGAAGTGAAAAGTGATTTAGGTGCCTCCATTGTTAGATGCCCGACTTGAGACATTTTAAAGGGGCCTGTTGACTGGGGTGAGGGGGCATGTTCAGCACTTTCTGCAAATCAGACTCCTTTAAGTTATATTAAAGTAGGCACCCAAAACCTAATGCACCCCAAATCAGAATCACTTTTGAAAATGTAGGTCTCTGCTAGTCACGTCAGGATGCGCTATGAGTCAGTGGCAGAGTCAGAACGAGAATGCAGAATTTCTGACTCCCAATCTTGTGCTCTAACACTGGACAAGACTTCCTCCCTATGAATCACCTAAACCTCCAATGAAATGCAACAACCACTGCACAGTAACATAGCACAAGCTGGAACAGGAAGTGAATAATACTTGTGTATTCAGCTGAGGCTAAAGGGTAAATCTTAGCTAGGCAGAATATGATTACTCAAAGTGGAATTGGTCCTGGATAATGGCTTGACACCCTACTCTTACAAAAATGCTGTAGGACGTTTACACCTAGAAGTTTACACCTTTCACCTCACATGTTGGGGGGGACTCCACATTGACTCAGAGGGAAAAGCACTACCTACCATCTCCGCTTCCTGCAGCCCCTCAGCGTGCTTTTGAGATCCCCCATCCAATACCTACCCAAACCTGCTTAGGATCAGAGACTGCATGACACCACATCACAAAGTGTTGTGCCTTCAGGCCTTATTGCCATTAAAATGATGCCTTTGTTGTCATTAAGGAAGCACCTTAGCTCCAGAATTTAGCTTCAGCATTATTTCTATTACATTAGCACCATCAGGAACCAGACCCCATTGGGCTAGGCCGTGCACACGCGTACAGTAAAAAGAGCCAAAGAGACAACAATCTACCCACATGCTGAAGGGGTTTACAAAACCTGATATGATGGGAGATGTTCTTACAGTTTCTAATATGCATCGGAAGAAGTGGGCTGTAGTCCACGAAAGCTTATGCTCTAATAAATTTGTTAGTCTCTAAAGTGCCACAAGTACTCCTGTTGTTCTTACAGTTTCTGTGTCACTGTAAGCCGCTGTGACTCAGAGAGAAGAGCGCCACCTATAGCACCACTCCTTACACCCCTTCTGTTTCACTTGGACATGCCCCACTCTGCGGCTAACCAGGCCAAAACCAGCTTAGTTTGCCAGATCTGAGGCCTTCACAGCCTGTGGCGTTACAGGGATGGAAAATGAGTGCCCATTTCTTGGACAAATGTGCATGAATCCTTACAAGGACTTACAAGCAGTCGGTCTTTTATCCAATATAGAGGATGTGAGAGCAAAGCCACTGCAATGGAGTCGCTTACCTGCACACTTGAAGCTCTGGGCCGTGAGTCCTCTTTCCAAAGACAACGTGGTCAGAATGCTCAGAAAGCTGGTGGTCACAGACTGGCGCTTGCTCTGCCTGAAGTCTCTCCCCAGAGGCTGATCTCTGGCTTTGTTTCTGAGAGTAACCTGCAGGTTTGGACCTAAACTTCTGGCTGCGTTGGCAGCAGATTTCAGGGCCTCCATCCACTCCTGTGCCCTCTGACGGGTCTCTGCACGCAGCCGGAGGACATCTTGAGGGAAAATGACCTGAAAGCATGAGTCACAGTCATCCAGAATATCTGTCTGGACAGTCAGGCACACGTCAATGTTATAGCTCAGGAGAGGGTCTTCATCGAGACTCCCGGGCTGAAATGCCATGAGACAAGATCTGCTTAGTACAAAAGTAAACGCTTTCCAGTTATTCTGGACCGTCAACCTATAAAGAGTCCCTGACCTGAGAATGTTTTGGTACTCCTTTGTATTTTGGCTCAAAGCTGTACACTGGAAAAGCTCAGCAGGCTTCTTTTGTAAGCCATGAATCTGGGGAAGGTCTCTGTTGTTGTCCAGCTTCTGTGAGTCCTCTAGGTTTTCCTGCTGCCTCCTGAACGTTGGCGCAGAGGAATGCCCCACCTCCCAAAGTTTCTTCCCCCAGTCCAAAGTCTCCCACGGTGACTCTGCCTTTAGCTGTAGCTGGGAGTTGTCCGACAGAACGGCATCCACCATCTTTGTTTCAGTGCTGTCTGTGACCGTGACACTTTGGAAATGTGAAAGCGGATACACGGTAGGAAAATTCTGGTTGCCGCTACTGTCGAGGTAATACAGGTACAGTTTGTGTGGAGAGAGCTCTGCATAACAGGGCTGCCAGTAGCTGTCATGGTCCTTTCTAATTTCTAGGTATCCCTTCTTCAGAATATTTGGGAATGTCAGTTTGTGTTCTGGAAGAAACCAAACAAGACAATTACTCAATTCTTTTCCAACGATTCACTCTATAGTCATTCTGGCTCACAGCAATTGCCCAGTATTCGTGGGCACACCAAATGAAGTATTATTATATTTCTGAGGGGAACTGGTATGACTTGGACAGTCTTGGCCCAAATAAATATTTGCAACAGGGACATATGATGCCGGAGAAGCAGAGCTTGACACATCCATGCAGCCAACTGCAGAATGGCATTGAGATGAAATGATAAACATAGTAATACCCAGCTTTCACACAGCTTTTTTCAGTTGTGGATCTCAAAGCGCTTTACCAAGGGGCTTGAGTACCATTCCCCCCATTTTACAGATGAGAACTGGAGGCACAGAAAAGGTGAGGTGACTTGCCCAACGTCACCCAGCAGGTCAGTGGGAGAGCTGGGAATAAAGCCCACGTCTCCTGAGCCCCAATCCAGTGCTCTATCCACTAGGCCACACTGCCTCCCATGGTCCAGCAGAAATGGAAACCCTAAAACGCTAAATCACAATAAAAAAAAGTGGCCGGGCTCAGCTGAATAATATTTTCTAGAGGTTCTTTCTAAAGTGGCTCTATGTATGGACATGCCATACATCCTACCATCTAGAACCTCCCACACAGTTTAAGTATTGAGAAGCACACTACTCTCTCTATGCCTCTTCCCCAGTGAACTGTGGGAGAAAACTTGTCTGTCCTTTGGGGTGCAGCAGGGGGAATTGTGGGAAGGCACTGGAGAGTTAGCCTATATCCTCACTGCAAAGTGGGTGGGGTGGGTTACCAGCCCGACTGTAAGCAGAACCCAGACTCTATCCTATAGCCCCACCTGAGCCAGCTAACTTGGGTTGAAAGCACCGGACAGCTCAGGTCAGAGGGTTGTGTGTGTGGATACGAGGAATATTAAGGGGAACACCTGAGTAAGAGCGTGAATTAATGCTGCAGGGAAGACATACCCAAGGGTTTCGACTAAGTGGTCAAATTAAGGTCAGACTTAGGTTCTGTCTAGATTAGAAATGCTGGGCTGCGGTAGTGCAGATGCTTTCTACAGCAACAGAAGAATACCTTCTGTCGCCGTAGCAACTCCACCTCTGAGAGGCAGTAGCTAGGTTGAGGGAAGAATTCCTAGCGGTATCTACACTGGGGATTAGGTTGGCCTAAACTACGTCACACACAGGGCACGGCATTTTTCATTTCGCTTTGCTACGTAGTTAGGTTGACTGAACTTTGTAGCATAGACCAGGATGTAGCTAACACCTGACCTTTTCCTTAGTGTAGTCACAGAAACCTGGGCAAAACTCAACCAGCAACAACAACAAAATCGAGCTCAGGGTGCTTCCCGACCTTTACACCGGGAAAAAGGTCGAGTTTAGGTTGGGCTTAGCTAGCACGTCCTAAATCGACCGCTCTCCTGACAAACACTAAGGACAAAACTGTGCTTAACATCATGTTAGTTAACATGTATTTAACATGATAAGTTTTCCCAGTGTAGACATAGACTTTCTGTGCAGATGTTTTCAACAATTCACTGACTTAAGCATGACCAGGTCTGATATGGATGTAAACACACAAATTTAACTACTCCCTGCAAATGGACAACCTACTAGAGAGTATTTCAGCTAAAAGGGAAAACCATAGATCTAAATCATAAAATTGCAGAAAAAAATTAAACTCATACCCCAAATGCAAAGGGAAAAAAAATAAGAAACCAATTTTGTTTGCCTTACATCTCTGGCCCTGACATTCATTAGTATTTCTGTGCTAACTCAAAAGCCATTAATTTCTTTGAAACCCACACTAATCCCTTTGTAGTGCAGATAATGGGTACACATTCTACAGTCATCTTCCTTCTCGGTTAATCCAATAAAAGAGATGGTGCTGCTGCAGACCCAACAGCAATCTCACTCGCTCTCTCGGCTTCCAAAGTACGGACGACAGTTCAAGCTTCTTCCATAATAAGACAAACTCAGAACCACTCCCTACTCCCAGGCCTCGTTCAGCTACCCAGAAATGTGCTTGTCTTTTGCTGAGCGACAGAAAGGCCATCTCTCTCTCTCTCTTTCACTAGGCATTCCCACTCCCCTTCCCTCAAGCTTCCGGGAATTGGCTTCACCCGCTTCCACTTTAACTGGGACAAAAACATCAACCAGCTTGATTAAAATTCAAATTCATACTGTTCGGGTCAAGGCAATGGATGCTGGATAGATGGGCTGTATTAGAAGGTGCCCCTCCCTTCATCCTCCTCTGCTCCTTCATCTCCTTGATGCACAATAAGCCAGATAATACCCATCCACTGAGTGCTACCATCTTTCTGTCCACCACATAAATAGAAACAGCATTTCTTTTCTCCCTCCTCCCACCCAAAACCAGGGAAATTAAATTGAGGCACAGTAAAAAGGGAGATAATCACAGTAAATAACCCACATCTGGGCTTATGCTTTTTTGAACTGTAATTTCTTGAAAAATAAGGGGAAAACAAACAGATAGCAGCTGGGAGCAGCCGAGAATTCTCTCTGCGGATTACCTCCTCTCTCTGGATAGTTTGTTTGTATTACATCTCATTAAAATTTCTTGCACCGAGTGTCCACCTGACATGGTGGCTCACCATCCTCAAATCATCTCTGATTTCCACAAGCATTGGAAGAGGGGAGATCAGAAGTGGTTTAAGCAAAGCTGGGATATTTTTTCCCATTGCTAAACAGCTTGTATTTGTGTTTCTGTTTGGAGGCAGGCAGCCTGTCCCTTCACATGCCAAGCGAATGCTACTATTAAAAAACAAGCAAATGTGTTTTCTCACATCCCTGTTATTTGAATAAATTTTAGATTAGGCAGTGTTGTCCGAAGACAGCTCCTGGATTCTGTTCCCAGATTGGCCACTGACTCTCTGTGTGACCTTGGACAACTCATTTAACCTCTTCGTGCTTCAGTCTACTTATCTGTAAAAAGCGAATAAAGCCTACTCGATTGGTGTGCCATGAAGCTTAATTCATTAATGTTTGCAAGGAAAATCCTTGGCCAAAAGGCTATGCTTTAAGACCCCGATCCTACACAACTGAACTCAGTGGAAGCTTTGACAATGATTTCCATGGCTGCAAGATCAGGTGTTCACAGCACAAAGGATTATTATTAATTTAGAAACAGGACTGACACATAATGAACACACATAATTAAACTGGATTACTCATCGCCAGTCTCTTACGAGGCTCAATCCCTACAAGGAGCTGAGCACTGTGGCCCCAATCTAGCAAATCACTCTACACATGTGCTTCATTTTAAGTTAACAGTGAAGGTAATTAACCATTGGAACAATTTACCAAGGATCGTGGTGGATTCTCCATCGATGACAATGTTTAAATCAAGACTGGATGTTTCCCTGAATGATTTGCTCGAGGAGTTATTGTGGGGAAGTTCTATGGCCTGTGTTATGTAGGAGATGATCACAGTGGTTCTTTCTGCCCTTGGAATCGATGAATCTATAAGCATATGAGCAGCCCCATCAAATTCAGTAGGACAAGTTGCAGTGTTTTGCTTGACAGGGACCCGAGCACTCTGCACTTGGCAGGATTGTGCTCACTTCCTTCCCAAGTCACATCCTGGTCTCTTCTTCTCAATTAACTTCCAACAGTCATTTTAGATGGATGAAGGCATTTCCCAGGTAATTAGCATATTTGATTTGCCTCTGTCCTGCAAACAATGCATTTTATATCTGGCAATTAATTCCCAATATTTAGGTGTATAAGAACCCAAACTGGTTTATTTAGCCTTATGTCACATGCTTCCAAGTAACTTTAAACTAAGGTCTTGTGTGTCTGGGCAGCAGTTTGCATTGAATAATGCTGACATTAATATAAGAAGAACCGTTTTCACTGAGCTTTCATGATTTTTCAGTCTTTAGCTTCAAGGAAGGCAAAACCGACTTTGAGAATGGTGAATTAGGCTACCTCTAATTCTAGGTGTGTCCATTCCTGGGGGAGTTGGTTTAATGGGATGATTTAGTTGGTGTTGGTCCTGCTTTGAGCAGGGGGTTGAACTAGATGATCTCCTGAGGTCTCTTCCTACCCTAATATTCTATGATTCTAATATCGAAGGACCAGGTTTCTTAAACCACTTCTACAAACCAGGTATGTGCTCGTTTCCAATAAAATGTCCACATGGCAGCTATTCTAGAATATGATTCAATACAAAGATGCAGAGTGAAATGAACCGCCTAGCCAAATCAAAAACAATTGTTTTCTCCCTGTTTTTCTAAATGCAGCGATAGGGAATTTTTCTGAATCCGAGGTCTGACTTTGCTCTCGGTTACACTGGTATAAACCAGGAGTAAATCCCCTGAAGGCAATAGGCCTTATTCTCCGTTGACCTACACCGTATCTAGTCACTTACGCCAGTGGACAGCTTCCAGGTCAGAACAATAGCATTTTGCACTGGTGGACGTCCCTGTGTAATAGAGACTGGGGCCCAATGAAGTCTCAAGTGACAGAGTGATGTATGGGAGACCAGCATCAGGACCCCCATTCACAGGTAAGGAAGAGGCAGAAGGTGCACACAGTACAAAAATGGTTACCTATTAGTGGCTATTAGATACATGAAATGTACATCCCGCACTTCTAAAGGAAATGGGAATATCAAATGAAAAAGCATTAGCCAGCTTTTGTATAAACTCCCTGACTCAGCTTCAAAGGGAAGGAAGAAAGAGATGAAAGCGACTAGCAAAGCTATTTAAAACAGGTTCGGTTCACATCACGATAGTTAGCTTGGCATCGGCCGTAGGGGAAAAGTCTTAGAAACCAAGCTGGAAATGCTATGTAAAATCACAACTTTATGATAAGCCCCAGGAGATGGTAGGTAAATAGCATAATGGCTAAAAGGGGTCAGAATGGAGACTCTTGCCTATATGCTCGGGGTCTTACTGATCGCCATATTTGGGGTCGGGAAGGAATTTTCCTCCAGGGCAGATTGGCTGAGCCGCTGGAGGTTTTTCGCCTTCCTCCGCAGCATGGGGCAGGGATCTCTAGCAGGAGGGTCTCTGCCGATTGAGGTCACTAATAACAGGATTGGGGACTTCAGCAGCAGAGTCCAGGGAAGGGGCGGGGACGGTTTTATGGCCTGCAGCGTGCAGGGGGTCAGACCAGATGATCATAATGGTCCCTTCTGACCTTAAAGTCTATGAGTCTATGAGTCTATTTGTCTATGAGAG